AAACTAAAGCAGCATCACATATAGCCAGGTAGACCTACCTTCTCTGTACCAGGTATTTTGTTACAGTGATGGAAAGCTAACTAACACAGCCAACTTTCCCTATGTATTTCTTAAGAAGATGCTCCTAAAAAGGAAGTTGAAATTAGAAGTCATTCACCACTTCCCAGCAAGGCCACAGATAATCTCACCATGCTTCAGAACCCTTCCTACCTGTAAAAGTTTTCAGTATCAAATAAAGCCAGCCATGTTGACCCCTATCAAGATGGCACTGAGAGACCATGAAAAGGACCCTCTCTCTTACATATGTGCCTATGGTGGAAACTATGTAAAGAACTCCTCAGAGCCACACTAGTCCAGGTGGCTAGCACAGGAATATTGACTAACATTGACTGTCTGCTAATGCTAGCTCCTGCACAGACCCTTGGGACCAATGGCATTTGCCTTAAAGTAGGCTTTGGTTTTTTTTTTTTTTTTTTTTTTTTTTTTGTCTTTTGTCCCCTCAGATGTGTCTGCTCCACCAGAGCTGTGTATCCAGGATTTCAGTCCCCTGCTATTCCCACATAAATGCTATGCAATGGAAGTCAGTCTCTCCCCCACATATGTAGGGTTGATATACCTTCCTCGTGCCATGGTCAAACCTTTTGTATCACCCAATAGCACCACATTCTCTCCTATGGTTCTGTCCATCCCTTTGACTTCAGCTGAAAGTCCCTTCATGTCTCCAAACCTAGGTGTGCCACCTGAAAAATCCTTTGGAACCCACAATCCCAGCCTCTTTCTGGACGTTTTCTTCTTTGCCTTTCTTAGAAGTTACGCTACAGCCCTGACTGGAGACTGAAACCTGTTTTCCCTAGAGCATTCTCTCTCAAGAAGTGCCTGTTCCCCCACCCCCACCCCACGGCCCACATACCACAGAGCCCAGGGGCAGAGCCTGTGTCTTTCATGGCTCTCATAGCTGCTGGCAGGCAATTCTTCTTTCTCCAGCTGAAAACCCCCAGTTCTTCTGAAAACCCACACCCTCAAATTCTACCACCCACTCACTCCCTGAGGCAGTCATCTGCCATCCTCCTGTTCCTGGTTCACAGCAGACATTAGTGTCTGGCTCACTAGTTGCCTCCCTTGCCATCTTGCACTTTTAGTCATTTTTTGTGGCTTAGTGGCCACCTAAAATGCATGGCAAGTCATTAGTCTCCTATAGCCTACTCTCCTCACTTCCATTGCTTTCTCCTCCTCAACCCACCTCAGCAACCACCTCTTATAATTCTACCCAGTCAATCTCAGGGTCAGGAAATAATGTCTGCAATCATGTCTATCATCCCTATCTCTGGCACGCCCTCCCAACAACTCTTCAACCTCAAAGGGGCCTCCAATTGAAAGTCCCTAGCACTGTTTCTCTATCCCCTGACTCTTGTCAAAGAAATGACATGGAAAAGGCAACCCACTATGAAATGACTTGAGTGGAGAGAGTTTCATGGAGGGCTTATTCACACAGTAGCCTGATGGGGGATGTCCTTCTTTATGCTGTGAATGTTTCTCTTATTGGTTGATGAGTAAAGCCCGTTTCAGCCAATGGACAGACAGGATTTAGCCAGGCGGGAAATACAAACAGAGAAAATAGAGAAACGTAGTTGGCAGAATCAGGAAGACGCCATGTAGCTGCCAAGGAAGCAAGAGACCTTGGCATCACCGGTAAGCTAAGACCATGTAGAGAAACACAGATTAAAAGACAAATGGGTTAATAATTAAGAGAGAGAGAGAGAGCTAGCCAATAAGAAGCCTGAGTCATTGGTCAAATAGTTTATAACTAATATAAGCTTCTGGGTATTTATTTGGGACTAAACAGCTGTGGGACCAGGCAGGACAGAAACTTCTGTCCAAAGTAGCCAGTACACCAAGAGACTCAGAAGAGATAATGGAGTGTTCAGAAATAAGGCATGTGGTCAGCCATTGCTACCAACAGCCTGAAGTGGAGAGAAAGAGGTCACTGAACTGAATAAGAGGAGAATGTGACAAAAGAATCATACTGGAAGCATGGTAAGAGAAGCGCACATGGAAGGAAAGTACATACCCCACTCTCTGACTTTTAGCCAGTGTCTTCCATTTAACTTCCAGTGTTATCCAGCTGGAGGCCAAGAGCCAGGGAGTCCCAGTAATGTAGTCTGCAGATATTTGTCTTTCACCACAGTGAAGGAAGTATGATGTCATGGAAATAGGAGTTGGCGTTTAAAATTATGGCCATTCCTCCTTGGCCCTTGCTTCATCATCCCTGTCCGCATATGCATACATATTTAGTATCCTTGCCCACTCTCATACCAGCCTGACAAAAACACTCCTACTTCCTCTCCACCTGTATTCAGGCAGGAAAGTGTGGCTACAGAAAAATTATGGAAATCTGCTTTGAGTTCACTTTAATTTCATATCAAAAAAATCTGGAGAGGGCCCAGCTGTCTGATTATGTTGCTCTAATCCACTCACTCTCCCATGAGTTTTCCAGTTCTCTTCCCAAATACCATCATCACATTGCCTCTGGTCTTAATGCTTTCCCTGAGAAAACAGAAACAACCAAGGGAAGATAACTACATCTTGACATTATGGTAACCCTCTAAGGTATGGGGCCAGCTCATCCTCATCGCCATAGGTGAGTGGCTGCATGTCATTACCTTTGACCTACTCAAGGCCTTTTTTCCTTGCAGTCACTTCAGAAGAATGCCATCTTGTAGGCCATTCCATTTGGATCCAGAATGTCATACTACATTATAAACAAAAAGAAAAGCAAAACCTTTCTTAGGCCCTCTTGAGCTTCTTGTTCACCTCCCTCCCCCCAAAAAAAACACCTCTTGAGTTCTTAAACTTGTGTTTCTGTCACTTCCATTCTCTCTGACCCCACTCTAGCCAGCCACGTGTTCTACTATTCCAGAGAAAACCATTATCTTGTTATCTGTTAGCTTGCTAACAGGAACAAGTTGTACATTCAAATTGATGATTTGGGCAAATTTTCATAAAAGGTATGGGCAAGGAGAAAGGAAGCCATATGGGATAATGCAAGGTCTGAGACTACAGACATGTGCAGAAGGGACAGAGGAAGAAATGCCAGAGAATCTCCTGACAGAAGCAAGCCTGGAGGCAGATGGCTGGCCACATCGCTGGAATCTTCAGTGTTTAACTGAGGTCAAGAGAAGCCCAGTGACTGACCATCTCTTGCAGTGTGGGACTCCTCCAGCCACTCTCCCAAGGATGGTTACAAATCCCTCAGCCACATCTCAGCCTGATCACCTTCTTGCCCTAGCCTCCTGCCTTTCCCAGTTGTCTGACCTGTATCATAGTCAGAAAGCTTTCCCTGCTGACTCTGCCCACTACTGATGTCATAAATGTTACCACCAATAAGTTAGATCTCCAACTCTATAACCAGTGTCCCAGATGGCCTAAACTGACACTCCATCTTACCAAACACAAAAGCCGCTTAAAGTCTTATGGCTAACCAGATGTGGTATGTTTAAGCAACTGAAGTCAAAGCAGCATGGATTATTTTCTCAAAAATAAAAGAGTGAAAAATAAAGACATTTCATGTTTGTATAACTGAGTATAGTGAGTTCCTATATTAGTGAATGGGAAGCCAAAGCAAGCACAGCCAAGACAGAAAGGGCAGAGAGAGGATTACCAGAACAGGTAAGGAGAGCATAGGTGCTCTTTACAAACAATAGAAGAGAGGAAGATAAGAGGTTTTATTCAGGAAACTCACTCTCTCTCTCTCTCTCTCTCTCTCTCTCTCTCTCTCTCTCTGTGTGTGTGTGTGTGTGTGTGTGTGTGTGTGTGTGTGTGTACGTTTTAGTTTGGGTTTCTATTGCTGTGAAGAGACACTATGACTATGGAAACTGTTATAGGGTTAACATTTAATGCTTACAGTTGCTGAGGTTTTAATCCATTATCATCATGTGGACACGGCAGTGTGCAGGCAGACATGGTGCTGGAGCTGAGAGTCCTACATCTTGATCAGCAAGCAACAGGAAGTGGACTATCTTTCTGGGCATGGCTTTGGCATATATGAAACCTCAAAGCCCACCTCCACAGTGACACACTTCCACCAACAAGACCACACCCCCTAATATTACCAATCCCCTTGGGGGCCATCTTCTTCCAAACCACCACATCCTTCTCCCTGACCCCCAAGGACTAGAGGCCATATCATAATGCAAAATGCACTCTGTTGAATTTCAAAAGTCCCCACGTTCTATAACAGTCTCAAACTTAAATGTCTAAAGTTCAAAGTCTCTTCTGAGCTTTGTCTAGTCTCTTAACTGTAATTCTCTCTAAAACAAAAATGAAAAACACAGACCACATGTTTCAAACATATAATGGCATAAGATGCACATTACCATTCCAAAACATAGGGAAGGGAACATAGTGAGGAAACACTGAACCAAAGCAAAACTGAAAACCAGCAGGGCAAACTCCAAACTCTGCATCCCCATGGCTGATGTAAAAATGCTCTTCAGATAGCCAACTCCTTTCAGCTTTGTTGACTGCAACACACTCTTTCTCTTGGGTTAGTTCCACTCCCTTTTAGCAGCTTTCCTTGACAGTATCCCATGGCTTTAGCTTCTCCAATATCTTGGGGTCTCCAAGGCAATTCAACTTCACAGCTTCACAAAATGGTCTCTCTAGTTCTTCATTCAGGGACACCCCTGGCACATGCCTGGCCTTGGTGGCTTTCTTTAGTCATAGAGGCAAATTGTATAACCCCTTTCTTCTAGACTTAATTCTAAAGCCAGAACCACGTGAACAAAGCTGCCAAGGACTGGAACATGGCCACCTTATTCAATTACATCTTCACCAGATTTCTGTTTTTCATGGTTTCCTTTATTGCCTAAGGTTGACTGTCCTGGAACTTGCTCTGTAGAACAGCCTGGCCTCAAAACTCAGAGATCCACCAGCCTCTGCCCTGGGAGTGCTGGGATTAAAGGCATGCACCACCACTGCCCATTTTTTATTCCATTTCTTAATCTGTTTATCTCTTTGAACACAGGATTTATCTCCATTCCACTTCCTAGTGCTCCTTTCCTCCTCAAATTTTACAGTTTGTAATTTACCCTGCTCAGCTTGCTCCATTTCATTATAAATCTTCATTACAGTGACCACTGATAACCATACCACTGATAACTATACTAGGCTATTTTGAGACTTCCTCTGCCAATGGAATTAATCCAAAACTCTTCACTTTAGCCTCAGGCAGACTCTTTGGACAAGGGCAAAAACCAGCCACATTCTTCACCAAATTATCACAAAAACAATCTCTCGGCCACATTCTAAAATTCTCCTTCTCTGAAACCTCTTGAGTCAGCATCCAACATTCAAATAACGCTTAGTGCCACTGTCTTCTATACTCCTATTACTATGGCCTTATTAAGTAGCACTTAAAGCATCTTACTGCTTTCCTAACCCAGAGTACCAAAGTCCTGATTCCTGAAAAAAAAAAAAAAAAAAAAAAGGTCAGGCCTATCACAGCATACCCCAGTCACTGGTACCAACTTCTTAGTTAGAGTTTCAAATGCTGTGACCAAACACCATGATCAAAAAGCAAGTTGGGGAGGAAAGGGTTTATTTGGCTTTTGCTTCCATATTGCTGTTATTATTGAAGGAAGTCAGGTCAGGAACTCAAACAGGGCTTGTTTCTCATGGCTTGCTGTCTGCTTTCCTATAGAACCCAGAAACACCAGCCCAGAGATGGCACAACCCACCATGGGCTGGGGGAGGCCCCATTGGCCACTAATTGAGAAAATGCCTTACAGCTGGATGTCAGGGAGGCATTTCCTAAACTGAGGCTCCTTCCTCTCCGATGGCTCTAGCTTGTGTCAAGTTGACACACAAAATCAGTCAGTACAGTGTGTGGTGTGCGTGTGCGTGTGCGTGTGCGTGTAAGATGAAAGGAAACCATACAGGATAATACAGACAGACAGGCAGACAGACAGACAGACAGACAGACAGACAGACAATCACTGTCATCTTTAAGAGACTAGGGATCATCAAGGAGACACATCTCCAAGTATATCTTTGAGGGAGTTTTCAGAGAAGTTTAACTGAGGGAAGACCTACCTTGAATGTGGGAGGCACCATTCCATGGGGCTGGGATCCCAAACGAAATAATAGGGGTAAGAAGGAAGCCAGGGGAGTACCAGCATTCATCTCTCTCTGCTGATTGCTTGCAGATATGATATGACCACCACAGCCATACCTTCCTTGCTATGATGGACTCTGTCTTCTCAAACTGTGTGCCAAAATAATTCCTTCCCTTCACTTGCTTTTCTCAAGTATTTTACCACAGCAATAATAAAACTCAAAAGCTACAGAAAACCTGCCCAGAAGTAAGGCTGTGTCTGTGACTGCTTGACTATATGGTTTGTAAGTATTTTTGACTGGTTTGTGAGAAGTAATTATAAATAAGAATATGGACCTATGGTTCTCAAACCCCTTGGGGGTCAAATGACACTTTCATGGGGCTCACATATCAGATATCCTGCATATAAGATGCTTACATAGCAATTCATAACAGTAGCAAAATTACAGTTAAGAAGTAACGATGAAAATAATTTTATGGTTGGGGGTCACACGGCATGAGGAATACATTAAAGGATCACAGCTCTAGGAAGGTTGAGAACCACTGCTAGAGTGTTATAAGCAAAGTTGAATGGGTATGTTGATGGGAGTGTGGGAGAGTAGGTCAGAATGCCAATAGAAAATTTAAGCAGTGCAATTCTGGCTCATAAGGCTTCAGGAAGTAACAAGGACTTTATTGGAAACTGGACTAGAGGCTATTCTTGGCATTCTGGCAAGGAATATGACTGCATCCTGCCTGTGTCCTGAGGACTCAAATGAGACTGAATTCAAGTGGTCAGCTCTGAGACTGTATACACGCAGCTAACATTATACAGATCAAGCAAGTTACATTTATGTATTTAGGAATATGTACATGTATACATGTAACAGCAAAGGAAAAAGAGGCCATGAATTTAAGAGACAGAGCAAAAGAATACATAGGAGATCTTGGAGGGAGGAAAGAGAATAGAGGAAATTAAGTGATATAATTTTTTTAAAAATTATTAAAAAGGTAATGAACTAATTTGTTTGGCAGAAGAAATTCCAAGACAGCATAGAACTCAGGCTATGATATGGTTGTGGCCTGCTGCTTTAAAAAAATATTTTTAATTATATGTATTGCGGTAGGGTGTATATGCCAGTATATGCATTTGAACAAAGGTGCCTAACAAGGCAAAAGGCAAAGTTAGAGGTGGCTAGAAGCTGCCTGCTGTGGGTGATGGTAGGTGGTCTCAGCCATTTCTCCAGCCCATTTCACTGCTTTTATTCGCATTTTCTATAAGAGAGAGCAGCAAGTAGTCCCAGAAGTGGCAGGTGGGGGGGGGAATAGTGGAGTACAATCTGGCAAGAAAAGGAGGAGTATCTTGGTTACTTTTCTATTGTCCTGATTAAACACCATGACCAAGACAACTTTTAAAAGAATGTGTTTAATCTAAGTTTATACTTTCAAAGGGTTAGAGTCCACCATGGCCTGGAGGCTGCGACAGCTGAAATCTTAGATCTTGATCAGAAGTAGGAGACAGAGAATGAATCACTGGGAATGATGGCACATGTCTTCTGAAACCCCAACCCTGTCCACTGTGACATATCTCCTCCAACAAGGCCATACCTCTAACCCTTCCAAAACAGTTCCAACAAATGGGGACCAAGTATTAATCCACCACAAGGAGAAGCAACAAGTTCCAAGTTACACACAGGTAGGTGCCAGGAAAGGAGCCCTGATGGCTAGGATGCTGCTGGGACTAATAATCTCAGTTGTCTATTTGATGAGATCTGGGCTCACCTGAGAGACTGAGCATGCCTTGGTGGGAGTTATCTTGATTAGGTTAATTGTGGGAAGACCCACCCACTGTGGGTAGCACCATTCCCTGGGTCAGGATCCTGAACTGTGTGAAAAAAAAGAAAAGTGAGTTGAACACAGGCATTAAACTTTCTCTGCTTCTTGACTATACAAGACTGTTTTTTTCTTCATGTCTCTGTATCTCATTTTCTTTTTTTTTTTTTTTTTTTTTTTTTTTTTTGTGTGTGTGTGTGTGTTTGATTTTGCTCTTTTGTTTTGTTTTGTTTTGTTTTTCGAGACAGGGTTCCTCTGTGTAGCTTTGGAGCCTATCCTGGCACTCACTCTGGAGACCAGGTTGGCCTTGAACTCACAGAGATCCAAGTGCTGGGATTAAAGGCACCAACGCCCGGCTTGATTTTGCTTTTTTGAGACAGGGTTTCTCTGTGTAATGGTCCTGGCTGTACTGGCTGTCTGGAACTCACTATGTGAACCAGGCTGCCCTCAAACTCACAGAGATCCACCTGCTTCTGCCTCCCAAGTGCTGGACTAAAGGTGTGTACCACCATCACCCAGTGACTGGATGTTTGTAAGCAGCTTCAAGCTCCTGCTACTGTGATTTCCCCATCAAGACAGACTGCGACCTCAAACTGCAAGACAAAAACTCTTCCTTCCTTAAGGTGCTTTTGTCAGAGTAGTTTATCATAGCAACAACAACAACAACAACAGCACACACACACACACACACACACACTCAAAAAAAAAAAAAAAAAGCAAGTGAGACATGTGCCCTGGAGCAGGAAATCCTTTGGAAGCTCTAAACTGTAAAAATGCTCATTAATTTGAAAGGAAAGAGACCGGGAAAAAAACTGCTAAAGGAGTCCCTGCTTGAAAACAAGCACACAGAGAAATGTTTTCTAAGTTCAGTCACCAAGGTGTAAGGAGTCCAGTAATACTATAGTAGAGCACGGCTTAACTGGCAAAGGAACTTTGGCAGCATAGTCACAGGGTGCTACTTTTGCAATTGTGCAAAATTCAAGAATTACAGGGTCATAAGGGCTTGCATTAAGGTTCAAAGAAGAGGACAAGGACAGGCAATGTGTGGCCAGCTTGGATTTCCTGCCAGGACTCCTTGAGAGGCCATTGTCTGAAGCTATGAAGATAAAACTTAAGGTATAATGGAAACACTGGGGTATAGGAGGTATCTGGATTGTAGATTCCTGAGGAAAGCTGCAGGCATGGAGGGAAGGTGGTCTATGAGGGAAGTCACAAGTGTGAAAGACAGAAGAGCTGAAGTTTGTGGCTATATGTATTAGTGCTTCTATTGCTGAGATGAAACCCCAAGAACAAGTTAGTGAGGAAAGGGTTTATTTGGCTTACATTTTCACATTATAGCCCATCAATGAAGGAAGCCAAAGATCCTGGAGGCAGGAGCTGGTGCAGTGGCCATGGAGGGGTGCTGCTTACTGGCTTGCTCCCCATGGTTTGCTTGGCCTGCTTTCTTATAGGATCCAGGACCACCAGCCCAGGGATGGCACCACCCACAATGGACTGGATCCTCCCACATCAATCACTAATGAAGAAAATGTCATATATGCTTACATACATCCTGATCTTGTAGAAGCATGTTCTTAATCGAAGTTCGCTCCTTTGTGTGACTATAGCTTGTATCAAGTTGATACAAAACTACACAGCATACCACCCAAGCCCCCTGGAGCATAGATGATGCCTTCACCCAGCCCCAGATGCCAAACAGAGACCTGAAGGATTTCACATTTACTCGGCTGAGTTTTGGTCTTTCTTTGGTCTGATCTTTCCTTACTACACCCCTATTCTCCCTTTAGAAACTGGAAGGTTTGTCCTATGCCACTGTACTTTGAAGTATGTGCCTAATGTTTTTATAGGGGCTCACATTTAAGAAATTGCCTTGAGTCTTAAAAGACTTTGAATTTTGAGCTTTAACACAATGCTAGGAATGGTAAGGATATGGGGATTCCCTATAGTTGAACTAAATGTATTTTGCACTGTGAGATGGCCATGAGCCTTTGAAGACCAATGGGAGGCTATTAATTAAAGGCAATGTGTTTGGGCAGTTAATTGACAAAGGGTCAATCTTCATTATTGCCTTGAGTGCATTTGAAATCACCCAGGAGACATATCTTTGAGTTTGCTTTTGAGGGAGTTTCCAGAGATTTTAACTAAGAAGGGAAGACTCGTCCTGTGGGCAGGGGATCTCAGAATGAATGAAGGAGGCAAGGGGGCAACTGTCTTAGTTACTTTTGTGTTGCTATCATAAAACACTATGACCAAGGCAACATATAAAGGAAGAGTTTATTTGGGCTTATGGTTCCAGATTGGTAAGAGTCCATCACTGCCAGGACATGTGGCAGCAGGCAGCAGGCATGGTGGCAGGAGCAGGAAGTTGAGAGATCCTCTCTTTACCCTAAGTACAGAGACAGAACCAAAAGTAGGTGATTCTCTATACCCTCAGAGCCTGTTGCCAGTGGTACCCGTCCTCCAGGAAGGCTGTATCTCCTAAACCTATTCAAATAGCACCTCCAATTGAGGACTAAGTGTTCAAATGTCTGAGCCTCTGGGGGCCATTTCTCATTCAAATCAACTGAGAGCATCTCTCTGCCTCCTGGCTGCTAATGCAGTGTGACCAGTGGCCTCACATTCCCACCCATGACTTCCTCACCATGATGGACTGCATCCTCTACACCAGGAACAAGAACAAGCCCTTTTCCCTCATGTTGCCTTGGCCACGCATTATGTGACATAACAAGAAGAGCAGCACACTTGCTTATATTATAACTCCATTCCAGGTATGAACTCTAAGAAGGAAGACTAAGTCTGTCTTACTCACAGACTGGTACTCAAGACTTGACTGATGATCACAAGGTGCTTCTTTCACGGGGCCTAAGATTAGTATGTTAGTAGACTATATACGTCAAGTCATTCTGATATTTGACTCTTAGGTAAAGTGTCTTCAAGTTTCATTCTAGTCCATGTAAAGCCTGCTTTTAATAAAAACTGAGTTTCAGTAAATTTCCATTAAATCTTGAAGGCCACGTGTGGTGTGCATGCCTTTTATCCCAGCACTCAGGAGGCAGAAGCAGGCAAATGTCTGGGCACCCACAACAGCATAACTGAGTTGCTGTCTAAAAGCAAATTCACGTGACAATATAGTGCCAAGCCTTAAAAGATGCAATGAAATGATTCCACAGTCCTTTGCAACACCGGCCTGGTGGGAGGGCAGATTTTTTTAATCAGAATATAGCATGCCACTTCATAAAATGGGTATCCTAATCAGCTTTCTGTCATTGTGACAAATATCTGGCATAGACAACTTAATCTCCATTCCATTTTCAGAGGTTGCGGTCCATGGTTGCTTGGCCCTATCTTGTCTGCCTCAGGGTGATGTGGGACATCGGGGATGGGGTGGAGCAAAGCTGCTTGTCTCAGGAGAGAAAAGGACAGGGAGTGACCGAGACCTGGAGGGAAAGGAAGCCAGGGACTTAAGAAGGGCAGCCCCCATACTCTTTTCCCAGTCAGGCATGGTGGTTCCTGCCTACAATCAGCATTCAGGAGGATGAGGCAGGGAGACTGCAGTGACTTTGAGGCCAACTTGAGTTAAAGAGTGAGACCCAATCTAAAATACAGATCAAAAGCCACAAAAATAGGAACATACTTCCTCCAACTGGGCCTCTCCTCCCAGAGTTTGTATTGATCCTAATAGTCCCACCAGCTCAGGGGGAAACTTTTAGCACATAGTTTTGGGGAGCATTTAACATCAACACCAGAACATTAGTAATCAGCACAAGGTTTCTGCATAAAGTTGCAGTGACAGTTGTGCAATTCTGTAAATATATTATAAACCAACCATATTATACACACCAAATAAGTGACCTCTATAATTTTTATATCCAAGCTCCTTTAGAATACAGCTGATTCGTAAGATAAGGTTGGTTAGGTCAGCCACGAAATCCATGAAGGTTTCAAAAGTGTCACTCATCAGCTAGACTTGAAGGAACCACAAACTCTGCTAAGCAGAAAAGACATGCAAATGTTCCAAAGACAGAGGCTGACACAAGGGCAGAAAGGAAGCGTGTCATTGCTTCTTAGCATGAGTATTCAGCAATGCAGGTAAAAGAGACAGGGGTGAGAGGGTGCTGAAGGACAAGACCCAGCCTGTTTGGGTAGGCAGCATCAGTCATGAAGGGGTGTTTAGTCAGGCTGGCTTTCCATGAGGAAAGGGGAAAACAGTGAAGAATAATGCTTTTTCAGAGAACATTCTAGAGGGGAACATTGAAAGGTGGGGATGGCTGGAGGGAAGTGAAACTCGTGATTTAACCAGAAAGGAAGATAATAATAACTAAGTCTAATGGCCTCTCTGCTAAGCACCTTGCTTTATTGCTAATGTGAGCACTACCACCCTCCCAACATACTAAACTCACCTGGTTTGCTTCCTCTACTGTCTTGAGGAGATGCAGCTTGCTCATGTCCTAGTCCCCTTGTTTTTCTCCTGGAACTTCAGCTCCATTTAACATGTTTCACTTTCAAATTCTTTTTTAAAGATCCTCCCTCTGCACAAGAACGAAAACCCAAAAGAATAGGTTAATTTGAAATTTTCCTTGAGTTCCTGGTACTGGGGGGACTCCCATTCCATACTTTTTGAGTAAAGAGATGCATAAATAAGGAAATTGGGTCTCACAGAAGTAACTTGTCTAAAAATGCAGATAATAAGTTGAGCATTATTCAATAACCACCTTTTAAAACCACCATGATTACTCCAGAGATTTAATATTCCCGGGTAGGTCCCCTTCTGGGATTTAGGAGAGTGGCAATGGGGATGGGAGGCTGAATTGCTTTGGTTTGGTGCTGGAATGGATATCGAAAGATAATAAAAAGATGTGACATACGCTGATTTGGGCTTCTAGATTGGGCAAGTAGTGCAACCTTTCAGGAAAAATAAAGATCCCGGGCTCAGCACAAGTAGGAAAGAGGTGTGGCAAGGGATCTTCTTTCACAATTTCCTAAATAGCGATAATACGATGTAACAAGTAATCCCAGTGGAGAGGGGGAGGCTGGAGGAAAAATTACAAAAGAACTGAGGCAAGCAAGAATTTAAACCCAGTCCTTTTTTTTTTTTTTTTTTTTTTTTTTTTTTTTTAACTGCGAAACAATCTGTTGCTATGTAGCCCTGGATGGTATTAAATTCACAGCACTTCTGCCTCAGCCTCCCAAACCAAGGGATTACTGGAGTCAGCCACAATCCCTGGCTCGGCCGCTGCAACGTTTGAAGTCAGATGCTCAAACTATCGAAAACCCCTTTAAATAGGCAGGCTACTTCTTTTTTCCAGATTTTCTGGACGGTGACTGTCGCTTACACAACTGCCCATCAGTGTGGAAGAACGCGGT